GGAACTACAACTCCCAATGTGCAGTTCGGCTACGTCGTCCTCAGGGATCCTTCGCTCTACAGACAACGCTGTCCCAGGGAGCTGCTTAAGCGGGGAATCTTGGTCATCAACTCACGGCGGCGACAGCTGCGGCTTGGTGTCGCTCGACTGGTTCGCCGGGCTCCTATCTCGCAGTGTCATCGCTCTTATATTTCTTTCAGCATTTTCTGCCCGTCTCCCGCAAAGGATGATTCATCTGACTTCCATCTCAAAAGTAATGGGTACCGTGAAAACAATCTCAATGTCCATCAATAGGAAAAGGATTAAATGAATTTTGGAATACCCGTATGTAATTCTGTGGAGCATTTAAAAAGAATGAGGTGGATCTGTATGTACTGATAAAGAAAGGTGTCCATGATATATTGTTAGGTGAAAATAGAATATTACAGACCAGTGTGATATGATCCTATTTTGTATTAAAAAGAATAAATGGAAAGAAAAAAGTAATGGGGACCAGTTACTGGAATTATTATCTGAGAGGGAAGCAATTGTAGAGACATATAAACGTAAGGTCGCCGAAAACAAAAATGTTAGTTCAGTGGAACGAAGTGAACGATTCTAGAGGTTTAGTTAGTACGTGTTTAGATGTCTATTTTGAAGAATTAATTAGTTTGAATAGGGGCATTCCTAGGTTTTGTACAGTAATCATACCACAGTTTACTGAAAATCCAAACTGGGCCTTTTTTTTTTTTTTAACCTATTGGATGTCCCTTCCTTTGGGAACTACTCACTCACCTCTGTTGCCTGTATACCAGTTAGCTGCAAGCACTGAACCCAGCAGATCACAGAGATGGTAACATGAGGTTAATATACTCTACTAGAAACCGAAATTTTGGATGGACACACTGCGATAGAAGGTACTAGGAATTGAGTGCTCTAAAGAGCTGGTCTATCAATTCATCTCATTTAGATCCCCAGAGCTGCCAGGTTCCTGGACTGGTCACTTGATAGTGTAGCCTATCCAATAAACTATTCAATCTGTTTCTCTATTTCTCTGGTTCTCTCTCCCTTTCTCCATCTATCTCGCCTTTTTCCTTTCTTCTCTTTTTCCTTTTACTTGGGTTAGCCATAGTTGTTTCTTGTTCCCTAAAAATAAGGAATCCTGATACAAAGTTCCCATTGTTTACAGAGTGAGATTTGCGAATGATTCATGCCAGCTTCCAAAAATCTCCATATTCTGGCCACAACATTATCTAACTTTCCCGCATCACTACTTCCCTTACAAACATAAATTATTGCAAAAATGACCTGCCCCCTGTTCCCTCCAACTCCTCCCCACCCTTTTCCTCCCTCTGTGCTTCTGCCAGTTTCTCATTTTGAAATGTCCTCGCTCTGTCACATCTGATTAATTTCAGTTCCTGAAGCCCATAGTACTTTTTCTTGTTGTTATGTGAAATCTATAAATATATCATGTAAACAAGATGTATATAACTTATACGTGTAAAGAAAAATAAGGAAACAAACAGCATCCAGTTTAAGAAAAACTAATGTAACTAGTTTCTTGAAGCACTTTGTGAGCCCCTCCCTAATCTCAATTTCATTTCTCCCTCCCTAGAGAAAGCCACTGTCCTGAATTTTGTACTTTTTGTTCCTTTGCCTTTCGTTTTAGTTTTGCAATATACATATGTATTTCTAAACAATATATTGTGTAGTTTTGCCTGGTTTTACCTTATGCAAATGCAACCATACCACATATATTCTTAATTAGCTTTCTTCTCAATAGTTAAGTGTTTGCAATAACTCCTTGTTGATTTGTATAGCTATAGTACATTTATTTTCACTGCTATGTAGTATTCCACTATATGAATTTACAACAATTTATTTTACCATTAACTGTTGATGGATATTTAGTTTGGTGCCAGTTTTGTTTTTGTTTTTCCTTGAATAACTTTTTTTTTTTTTAAGATTTTTTATTTATTTGACAGAGAGACACAGCGAGAGAGGGAACACAAGCAGCGGGAATGGGAGAGGGAGAAGCAGGCTTCCCGCCGAGCAGGGAGCCCGATGTGGGGCTCGATCCCAGGACCCTGGGACCATGACCCGAGCCGAAGGCAGACGCTTAACGACTGAGCCACTCAGGCGCCCCCCTTGAATAACTTTTTGACTTTGCCGAGACACAGCTCAAAGTAGAGTGGCTCTGGAGTCAGACTGGTTGTCTTTAAATCCCTGTTCTACCACTTTCTGTGATCTTGGGCTACTGAGTGACTCAGCTTTCACATCTATTACATAATAACAGAGTAGTAGGCAGTGCCTGGAATAAAGTTGCTGCTTGATATTTATTGATTGAAGAATGGTTCTCTCACATCTACACATACACTATAATCCACTAAAATGGATTACTATCAAGTTTCCAAACATTCTTTGCTGTTTCCTAGGACCACAGTCATCCTCGGGTCATTTTTCTTTCCCTTAGAATTGCTTCTCCTCCTACTTCCACTGTCAGAATCCTTCATGGCTTAACTGTAATGTTAACTTCTTTTTTTTTTTTTTTTTTAAGATTTTATTTATTTATTTGACAGGGAGAGGCACAATGAGAGAGGGAACACAAGCAGGGGGAGTGGGGGAGGGAGAAGCAGGCTTCCCGAGGAGCAGGGAGCCTGATGTGGGGCTCGATCCTAGGACCCTGGGATCATGACCTGAGCCAAAGGCAGATGCTTAACAACTGAGCCACCCAGGTGCCCGGTGATAAATCCTTCCCTCATCACCTCTTGCAGAAACGATTCTATCTTTTAATTCTTATGACAATTTGGTTGTGTTACTCTCTGGCTCTTTTAACATATTGCCTGTGTGATAGTTATTTATTTATTTATTTTTAAAGATTTTATTTATTTATTTGAGAGAGAGAGAGAATGAGAGACAGAGAGCATGAGAGGGAGGAGGGTCAGAGGGAGAAGCAGACTCCCTGCCGAGCAGGGAGCCCGATGCGGGACTCGATCCCCGGACTCCAGGATCATCACCCGAGCCGAAGGCAGTCGCTTAACCAACTGAGCCACCCAGGCGCCCTTGCCTGTGTGATAGTTATTTAAATACTTTATTTCTTCCTGATAAAGATTATGAACTTATTTCAAGACAGTAGCCAAACTTTACATATTTTGGCTTACTTTCTGCACCTAGCCTCATGCCTTGCTTATGGTACTCAATAAACATTAATAATTTGAAAAATAATTTGAACAGGTGATTGTCGTAGGTATCTGTTGCCATATACTAAACCACTCCAAAAATTTACTGGCTTAAGATTGTAGCTAATTATTTACTCATGATTCTGTGGGTGAGCAATTTGGCTGGGTTTACCAGGCAATTATTCTATTGGCCTTGCCTGGGGTCATTCACATAGATGTTAGTCATCTGATGGTTTGATTGGGCCTGGGTAGCCTAACTATCCTCCCTCATATGCCCAGATGGTGGTGGTGGCTGTTGGCTGGGGCATATGTCTCCAGCAGGATATTCCAACTTCTTTACATAGCATCTGGCTTCCAGGAGAGCAGGAGTGGGAGCTGCAGAGTCTCTTGAAGCCTAAACTCCACAGTTGCACATTGTCATTTCTGCTGCATTCTGTTATCAAATCACAAGGCCAACTCCAAAGTAAGAGATGGGAAAATAAATTCTACACTTCATGGAGGAGTGGCAAAGTCACATTACAAAGGGGGTATATATACTTACATATATATATATATAGGGATGGAAGGAATTATTTTGCCATCTCTGCAAGTAATCTACCATAGTGATTAGGTGTAAAATTTCCTTCTACCTCGAGTTCAGATTTTAGCTTAAATCTTAGATGGATTGCTCATCTAAGAAATCATTTCCCAACTATTTTGCTGAATCATAAAAACCTTCTTAGTTTTAATCATGAGGTAAATTAACACGCTTAATTTTTTTTTAAGATTTTTATTTATTTATTTGAGAGAGAGAGAAAGCACGAGCAGGGGGAGAGGCAGAGGGAGAAGCAGGCTCTTCAGTGCAGGGCTCGATCCCAGGACCCTGGGATCATGACCTGAGCTGAAGGCAGACGCTTCATCGACTGAGCCACCCAGGCACCCCAACACACTTAATTTTAAGGAGGCAGCAACACTGATGATGATTAGTACTACCAGCTAATATTTTTTGAATCCATGTTCTGGGCTAAACAGCTTAACTTATACTGTCTTATTCAACCATCACTATCTGAGTTAAGCATTATTGTCTCATTTTAATTTATTTATTTTTCTTTAAAAATAAGGACCATGAGGCTCTAACAGTTTGTTAAGTAACATCACATATTAGTTAATGACACATACTATATCAGAGAGTTAAGGTAAAAATGTAGGCTTCCAAAGAAAAACATTTTTATATAGTCTGTTTATATATTATTAATTATGAAATAAATGTATCTTTGGTCCCTAGAGCAGGAGTGATCTTTTATTCCTTGGCATCCTGGTGTTGAGTCTCTGGTCTCTGGCTTCCCACTTGCTAAGTCTCTGCTATTCCCTTGTGCTTAGTATTGACTGTGCCAATATACCTTTGCCAATTTTTTTGTATAGTAAAAATATGGGATTGAGAGTCAGAAAGAAGGGTTTGGTATTCTGGTTCTGCCAGTTATTAGCTGTATAATGTGGAACAAGTTTTCTAACCAGTTAATTCCTCTGTAAAATGGGTGGAATAAGAATTAAATTTCTTTTTTTTTTTTTTAAGATTTTATTTATTTATTTATTTGACAGAGAGAGACAGCGAGAGAGGGAACACAGCAGGGAGAGTGGGAGAGACAGAAGCAGGCTGCCCGTTGAGCAGGGAGCCTGATGCGGGGCTCGATCCGAGGACCCCAGGATCATGACCTGAGCCGAAGGCAGACACTTAATGACTGAGCCACCCAGGCACCCCAAGAATTAAATTTCAAAATGAAAGAATTCACTTAAAACCTCCAGCATAATACCTGAGATATAAGACACCTTAATAAATTTTGTTTCTGTCTTTTATACCTACAGTGTTGTTCCAGAAATCAGACTTTCCTGGGATTTCAATTTTGAGTCATCTCAATCCACATCTCCTGCCTCTTGGAATTATGTCCCAAGCAAACCCATTTTCTGAAGTGACCTCTTCCTAAATCTGCCTCAAGAGAAATAGTGCCTGGCCGTGATCCTGGCCTTCTAGTTGCCTGGACTGAAGATCCTAACCTGCCATTTAACCTACAGTGTGACGGCCTCCCAGTTTTCAGATGGTAAGAACTTGTGGGACACTTAATCTCAAAGGGAATCTGGTCCAGTTTCACCAGGACAAAAAAGAGGAGCTGAGTACTGTGCTAACTAATCCAGGACATTTGGTCACCTTATCACTTTAACCCATTAATTTGTTTACCAAGTGACTATCACCAGGTAGTTTTTTTTGGCTATTTTAGCCCTACTTCTCTTCTAAGGAACTCCTCAAACCTTCAGCTTGAGAAATGCTGGATTATTTGAAGTAGGGACCAATGACAGATATTATTTTTATTAAAAGTAAAATAAAATGGCACACTTAGAACCAAGAGATTACTGATTTTGAAAAAGGCAGAAAACAAAAGAGAAACGAAAGACATGGTTGGAGGTAAGGGAGGAGTAGAGTAACAATTGGGGGATTATTATCCTATAGTTGTGTTACTAAGCAAAAACATAATTGTGGGCAATTAATCATTTCTCTTTATTGAGTCCACATTGTGGTACATATTATTCATTTATTTGTTCAACAAATAGGTATAAAGCACAGACAGCATGCCAGGCAATGAGTAAGGTGCCAAGATTATAATAAGGACTAAAATCAGATTTATTGTCATACAGGAGCTTAAAAACTCAAGTAGCAACTAACAACAGTGGTGAGACATAGAACATATAGAAGTTCCAGGCGTGGCTGTGGAATTCAAAAATGTATGTATGATATGAATGATAAAAATTACGAAAAATTGGAGAGTAGCATCCCCTTATTAAATGGGATGGCTGTTACTTAGCTCTAGCTGATTTTTGCCTCTCAAGAATGTGTGGCGTACTGGTTTCAAGAGATACCAGAATTCTGAATTTTTATATGGAATCTATGGCTGAGGAGATATTGGTTCCAAATTTAAAAACAAACAAACCAAAACAAAACTGAGACACCAGTTTGAGATTCTCTCGTTTCCAAAGGATTTGTTCCTAGTGAAAGTGTGAATGAGCTCATGGTTTTGAAACAGTAGTAGGTGTAAGAGTATAATTGTTACCTAACCTGCTCAACTTGAATTTTAAAGCTATGATGCTGTAGAGGCAGAAGAAGAGGCAGTTAATACAGAATTTGAAATGAATGCCCTAGAATAGCAGTCCAGATTCTCAGAGGATATAGTCAATCATCACTCTAAGGACTTGGTTATAGAAATATAGTATTACATTTCTATATTTATGGTGGGCAGGGCATTGTTACTCTAGCATTCATGAAAAGCAGGGTAATGGAAACTGGAAGCACCAGGTGAATGTTGGGGCACGTAAACGGAGTTGTCTGTTTTCAAGAGTGGTTTCTACCAACTGCAGTGGTTTCAGAAAGCCTTCTTTATCCTTAAGATCCTCCTCTCCACCTTGTCAGGTAAGCTCAAATCCTATATTCTGGTAAGGATACCTAAGTTTCTCCATTTACTCTCCTAGTCAGTGTTTCAGTCTGTGTTATGGCCTCCTACTCCTCCCAGCTTTGCTTAAATACTTATTCTTTGTTCATACTGCTCCAAAGACCCCTACTTACATATATCTCAACCTCATCTGAACTTCTTCAGAATTTATGCTCTATATCATTCAACTTAACCTTTAATCAGCTATTATACTGTCATTTAAATGTATCATATATATGTATATATATCTAAAGTAAATGAACCAGAATATAATTTATGAGGGCAGGCACTGTAATTTATATTTATCTTAAATTCCCCGAGAGAGTTTAAGATCCCCAAGATCGCCTTCTTGGTGATTTGCTAGAAGGACTCATAGGACTCAGAATATAGTCATACTTACAGCTATGATTTATTACAGCAAAAGGATACAAAGCAAAATTAGCAAAGGGAAAAGGCACATGGGGCAAAGTCTGGAGAAAACTAAGCGCCAGCTTCCAAGAATCTTCTCTCAGTAGAGTCACACAGGACACGTTTAATTCCTCCAGCAATGAGTTCTGACAACATGTGTGTAATACGGTCTACCACGACTCTCATCACAAACTCAGTGCTTGGGTTTTTACTGGGGCTGATCATGTAGGCACCCTCTGACTAAGATATACCAAAATTCCAAACTCCTAGAAGGAAAGCAGGTGTTTAAAAGAAACCGTAGTGTTTGCACAAACAGTTTAAGCCACTCTCATCATTTAGGGAAAGTTTTCTATTTGTGTAGGGAACTGTTTATCATTCAAATTCCCAGATACCAACCAACCTTGCAAGCAGGACAGCAGTCTCAGGCTGCTCTGTTAACTCTTTTCTGCACACCACCCACAAATACTTGGGTGAAGGGGAGGGTGAACTGGAAGATTTTTCTTTTAATACTATCATACAACTGATTAGACTCATTACTCACATAAATATTCTTCCCCGATCCTGCATGTGTTATGTAGAATAAACTATACATTTTCCAATTACAGAAAACTTACCTAAATATTTTTACCCTTTTTATTTTATTTTATTATTTATTTATTCATTCATTCATTCATTCATTTATTTAAGGGCTTGAGAGCATGCAAACGGGATGGGGGGGGAGGGGAGAGGGAAAGGGAGAGAGAATCTTAAGCAGGCTCCATGCCCAGCATGAGCCCAATAGGAGACTCGATCCCACTACCCTGAGATCATGACCTGAGCTGAAATCAAGAGTTGGATGCTTAACTGACTGAGCCACCCAGGTGCCCCTACCCTTTTTATTTTAAAGCAAATTCATACTTTTGGGAAAAAAAGTTCAAGCAATACACAAATTTGGAAAAAGCAAAGACTTTCCCTCAACATTTTCCTTCTTAATATTTTGTTGTATATCTCTCCAGGCTTTTTGCTATGCACATACAAATATATACATGCAAAAACAGATTCTTACTAGAGAGACTTTCCTACAACATGCATTTTTTCACATAAAATTATGCAGCAAATGTTTTTCATACCAGTATCTATAGATCTTTTTCAATCTTTTTCAGTGGTTACACAGTAGTCCATTGTATTGAGATATCATAATTTAACCTATTCCCAATATTTTCCTACTAAAAACTATGGTATAAGTTCCTTCTATTCATACATTTTTGTATTTCTATGGGATAAAGTCCTAGAAGTAGAAATGCTGTGTCAAAGTGAAAATTCCGTTTTAGTTTATCCCTTTTATGATAAGTTGTATTAAACTCTTTGCATAACATGCAGTAGTGAATTTATTTATTTATTTTTGAGAAAGAGAGAGAATGGGGAGGGGCAGAGAGAGAAGGAGAGAGAATCCTAAGCCCCTTGAGTCATGGGGCTCAATCTCACAACCATGAGATAATGACCTGTGCTGAAATCAGGAGTTGGGTACTTAACTGACTGAGCCACCTAGGCGCCCCAACAGTGAATATTTTTTGATGGACTATTCAGCATCCATTCCCTTTCTTTCCCTTTCCGACCCATTCTAAGGTTTTCTCTTGTAGAACCAATCCTCTCCCATTACCTGGTGTTCATACAATTCGGGTGGGACCAACTACTACCAGGTCACATCCTTGTCATTGTTCAGGAATGGGCAGTCATTCAGCTCTGTGCTAGTCAACACATGACACCCACCTTATCAAAATAACTGATTCAAGATGGACAGATCAAAGCAAAGTTCAGACTTTTGGTACATGGGTAGACCTAAGAGAAGTGATGCTTTCTGTCTCTGAATATGAAAAAGAAAGCATGTTGTCCTGAGTACTTCTAGCAATGATCTCTTCACCATGAGAAAGCAGCCTGAGAATGAAGCTGATATATAGAGATGAAGGTGAGAAAACTGTAGAGAAACAGTATAAAAGCCACAACTAAACCTTGTTAGATACCCCCTTTACTACTGGGATTTTCAGTTGTTACTCAAAAAGTCTTAGTTGTTGTTTAACAAACTGGAGTTGGGATTTGTTAGTGGAATCCCAAAGCATATTAACTGATATATTTGTTCTCTATTTATGCATAGCCAGGAGCACAACCTTTGGAATTAGGTGGATCTGGGTTGAAATTTCATCTAGCCATGGGGTGCCTGGGTTGCTCAGTTGGTTAAGCATCTGCCTTTGGTTCAGGTCATGATCCCAGGGTCCTGGGATTGAGCCCCACATCAGGAGCCTGCTTCTACCTCTGCCTCTCCGCCTGGCTTGTGCTCTCACTCTCTCTCTCAAATAAATAAAATCTTAAAAAAAATTTTTTTTTCAACTAGCCATATAAGTATGTGACATTATGTTACAATTTTCTTTTCTTTTTTTTTAAGTAGGCTCCATGCCCAGTGTGGAGCCCAACCTGGGGCTTGAACTCACGACCCTGAGATCAAGACCTGAGCTGAGATCAAGAGTCAGATACTTAACTGACTGAGCCACCTAGGCGCCCTGACAATTTTCTGAATCAATTTTTATCATCTTATTTTATGGGGATAATTATATCTACCTTACAAGGGGATTACAGTATTATGTGGTAGAATATGTAAATCACTTCACAAGGTACCTGGACCTAATTGGGCTTCTAATTCAATTTTTGTTCTGCACTCTCTCATATATGAATACATCAGCAATGCATTCTGATAATGATACTATAAAGAAAAACACTTTACACAATAATCTGATATTAAAATTAGGTGGCATAACTACCAATTTCTATTTTGGTGCCGATATTTGTCTTTAAGAAAAGGTTTCAGGGTGTCTGGCTGGCTCAGTCAGTAGAGTATGTGATTCTTTTTTTTTAAGATTTTTTAATTTATTTATTTGAGAGAGCGAGAATGAGAGAGAGTACATGAGAGGGGGGAGGGTCAGAGGGAGAAGCAGGCTCCTAGCTGAGCAGGGAGCCCGATGCGGGACTTGATCCCGGGACTCCAGGATCATGACCTGAGCCGAAGGCAGTTGCTTAACCAACTGAGCCACCCAGGCGCCCAGAGTATGTGATTCTTGATCTTGGGGTCCTGAGTTCTAGCCCCTTGTTGGGTGTAGAGATTACAAAAAAAAAAAAGAGAGAGAGAGACAGAGAGAGAGATGGTTTCAACATAAATTAACAGGAATGGCTCTGGGTATCTTAAAATTAAAAGATATCAGGGGTGCCTGGGTGGCTCAGTTGGTTAAGTGTCCAATGGTCCAGGGGTCATGGGATTGAGCCTCCTGCCTGGCTCCCTGCTCAGCTGGGAGTCTACTCAGCTCCTTCTCCCTCTGCCCCTCCTCTGGCTCATGTATGCACTCTCTCTCTCTGGAATAAATATATAAATCTTAAAAAAAATAAAAGATACCCAAGTTATATATTATACTTATTACTTATTACCCATGACCTATTTATAAACATACATTTAAGTTATTTGGATTCTAAAAAGAAAACATAAAGCATATAATCAACACTTTTTTCTTTAAAGATTTTAAGTAATCTCTACATCCAATGTGGGGCTCAATCTCATGACCCCGAGATCAAGAGTCACACACTCTTCCAATGAGCCAGCCAGGTGTCCCTAAAATCAACACTTTTAGAAATTGAAAATCATTTAGGAGATTTTGAAAAAAATCTAAATATAACCAACCTCTTATGAGAAATGGAAGAAATAAGGGACAATTTAGGGATTGGAATTGTAGTAAGTTTAGCTTTTTTATTACTCTCATTGCTAAGATCACATCTGTATCATAAAAATCCAAACACACTCTATTCATTTAAAAAGCCCATTTGGTGGGGCACCTGGGTGGCTCAGTTGTTAGGTGTCTGCCTTCGGCTCTGGTCATGGTCTTGGGGTCCTGGGATTGAGCCCCGCATCGGACTCCCTGCTTCGCGGGAAGCCTGCTTCTCCCTCTCCCACTCCCCCTGCTTGTGTTCCCTCTCTCGCTGTGTCTCTCTTTGTTAGATGAATAAATAAAATTAAAAAAAAAAAAAGCCCATTTGGCATGTTCTTTGGTATACCAACATTGCTGAGATGATGATAGTGGTAAGCGTGCTTGGGCCTGGGGTTTGGTAGTGGAGACAAGGGAACTATGGGTAGAGTAGTTGTTTTCTTTATATCAGCCACCAAAAGATACTTCCTTGGAAAATGATTAACCAAATCTGGAATATATATTTCTAGGTCTTTTTCAGAGGTGGCTGGTGTGCCTCCCCATAGACTGTTCTCACAGGGCCCATTTACACTCAATAAATTCTATGTATTCTTTTGCAAAGACGTTTGTGTATAACTGTGTGATGAATCATGTTCTTTATTTGAGCACTTTCTCACAAATTAATTAAAAGAAAAAAGAATAGGAACAAAAAAGGTAGATTATTATGATAACGAAGCAGTAGTTAGGTACAGATAAAATAGAATGTCTCACTTATATTCATATAGCTTCACAAAAAGCAGTTTCATCTATTTTATCTCATTTGATCCTCTTCATGAAGAATTGTTATCCTAATCTATATGTGAAAAAACATGAAGCCCAGAAGAGTTAAATTATTTGCTTACTTCCACATGGTAAACAGTGAAGGAACCAGGTTCTAATACTCATCTAATCCCAAATCAAGTGTTTCTTTACTATATATACTGTATTATTGCTAAATAGGTATTGTCTAATAGTTTAATGTTTTATAAATGGAATTTGCACCAAGTCTATAAAAAGGGGGTCAAGCACAGTAATTTTTCTTTATTATTCTAGATTCTAGAATCCTAGTTCTAGAATCCTAGTTCTAGAATCTATAAACTACTATCTCCCTAAAGCCCTAAGAAAGACAGTTTAGAGTAGTGCTTTGGTGCAAGTGCTTGCCTTCCCTATAAATTCCCTTTTTTGGAAAAATATTTATTGAATATAAGAAGCAAATATGAAGATGAATATAAGATTTTTGCCTTTGAAGAACTAAAAAATCTAATTGTGTTTAACTGCAAACAATATATAAGGCAGAATGAGGTAAGTGCTGTAATAAAAAGACATAATAGAAGCAGATGAGAGGAGTCCTGAACCAAGTTTGGTATGACAAGTCCAAACAAGAGTTCTTCTCATTCTTTTAATTTATCCCTCTCTAGAGAGTACACATTATTGCAAATTTCTGTCATAATCATAGTTCCCAGGGCCCATCCTCTTCAGAATCTTTAATTTTGTATAGGAACTCAGCATTCTGCAGTATCTTCAATTAACCTTATACTTCCTATCATTTTCTTGCTAATCCATTTACATCATTTCTAGCTGTCATTTTTCCCCTCCCATCTCTCTTCTGTGATGGCTTGTTCTCTGAATTTTTCAATAAGTTGTAAATGTAAAAAATTTGGTGAAGCTTTTTTGTAAACCACTTTTATAAGTCTTTCTAGATTGAGAGAAACCTGGTTGATAGTTAATTGTTCTGTGCTGCTCCCTTTGGTAATCATATATGTATGTATCTTACACACACATACATACATAAATTATATATAGCCTTTAGTAGTGTCAGCATATATATCTATATTCAGTTTTGATTATGAATCAAATCCATATATGTTGTGAACCTTATGATGTACTAGGCACTGTGTGAAGTACTACGTTAAATAAGACAAGGTCCCGGTCTTGAAGAAGCTCAGTCTAGCTTCCCATTTTACTGAAACTGTCAGTACTTAGAAAATATAAATTAGCAGCTCTCAGTTACTTTCTGGATTTGGAAATATTTGAGTGTCTACGATGTATTGGGAAATGTATGAATATATGATAATATAGCAATGCACATAACTATTCTCTTAAGTTTCCCCAACTATTCTCTAAACTTATTTGCTGTTATTTCCCACTCCTGAAAAGCATTTAATCTTGAGTTAATATATGTACTAGTAAATTTCTATATCTTGTACATATGCATCCACATCTTTCCATAAGTCCTACTGAAAAATCCTCAAAGTGCCATATGTTAACTGTCATCAATTACAGTACTAATCAAGTATCCATCACAAAATTAAACTTTAAAAACGTACCCACAAGTCTAGTTCCTAAATAAAAATTTTTAAAGGTTTTATTTATTTATTTGACAGAGAGACACAGCGAGAGAGGGAACACAAGCAGGAGGAGTGGGGAGAGAGAAGCAGGAGAGAGAAGCAGGCTCCCCACTTCAGCAGGGAGCCGAATGCGATGCGGGGCTTGATCCCAGGACCCTAGGTTCATGACCTGAGCCGAAGGCAGACACTTCACGACTGAGCCACCCAGGCGCCCCAACAAATTTATTTTAGATCTTTATCTGCTCAGTTTTTGCAGAGTAGCAAAATGAAGTTGTATTCTACCGTTTTCAAAACTTAACGTTATAATCACAAATGTTTCTGTATTTCTAGTCATGACTTTTAATAGCTTACATTCCCTTATATTGATATGACATATTTAGTCTCCAAACATTTAATATTAAGTTTTCAAATTTTCATATTACAAAGTGCTACTACAAATGGGATTGTTGAATTAAAGGTAGGAACTTTAATGAGTGTATCGCCTGTGTTTACATTAAAATAAATGGAATTTATTGTAATTAGAACAATCCTGTTTGCTATTTACGAATAGTACGTAGGAGGCAAATTATCTTTTGTGTTTTTTACAAATACAATAGTATCAACAGTATCACACTTTGGAAAGCCAGTTGCTTTTTGCTAACTTTGATACAAATGTAAGGTAGCATTAACATCGCATATTCACAGATTTAAGGAATGATCAAAGCTTACCATGAAATCCCCAACATTTCTTCTTCCCCCACCTTTCTAAAGTAAAACACTGACATTCTTTCGTAGACTGCTTAGATTAGGTTTGATTTTTTAATAAGAATCACCCAGCGAAATGGATGATTTCGCTTCCGCGCTGAAGACCTTCCGCAGGAGGTTTCAGGCAGCTCTGCGGGCTGCGCGGGCCGAACCCCTGCCAGCTGCGGTGGTCACTGTGTCTGCAGTTGGGGTGGCGCTTGCCTTGGGTAGGCAGGTTGAAGAACTAGTCTCCCGCAACCTTCGGGGCCAGGCTTCGGCCAGGACACTTTGTTGACCACACAGGGCGATACAGACTCAGGACAGGGTCCCAATCCCTCCCCGCCCCAGACCCACTGAGGGGTTCTGCGCAGGCGCGGCAGTTGTGCGACATCCGTCACTTACGGCCGAAGCGGTTTGTGCTGGGAGTTGGTGGCGCGGTGCAGGGCTCTTAAGAACCAGCGGCTTGGGCGCGGGTAATCAGCTCCCTCTCCCCCCTTCCCCACCTCTTCTAGGTTCTTGGGACAACTGCGGAGCTTCCGGACCTGATGCGGGCGCCCTGTCTTGGACTGTCCCACCTCGCTCCTCTACTGCTCCGGGTGCTCCCGCGCCCAGGTGGGGGTGAGGGGCGGGGTCGGGGGCTGGGCTGGGCTCCATCCTGGCATCTTCATGTTGAAATCTCCCGGTTAACTCACGGTTCTTCTTGTTTTCCAAGACTGGTTTCCGGGGATTGTGACTTGCAGGGTCCGCCATGGAGCCAGAGCAGATGCTGGAGGGACAGACGCAGGTACCAGGAGGCCCTGGCTTCAGGGTGGCGGTGTGTAGCAAGAAGGGGTGGCTCACGTCTCAGTGACCTGTGTTTTGTTTTCTAGGTTGCAGAAAACCCTCACTCTGAGTACGGTCTTACAGACAATGTCGAGGTAATTCGCCCGGTTCTTACGCGTATCTGGACGTCTCTTACGAGCTGGAGAAAACTTGGGATCCGTTTTTACTAGGTTGCTTTGCACAAGGGAAAACTTTATCGGCATGAACTAAATAGTATCAAATTATGGGTAGCCTGTTTTATTAGCGGTACTAATACTTCGTGGTATACAGACATTCAAATTAGTTTTGAGTCAAGAGGTTGAACTTCTGAAAGTGATAGAAACAAACATGCATTACTAATGGAGACAGTCGTTTTGCTTGGTGGGTATTAATGAATCTGTTGGGATATGTTTTGGAAAAACTGCACATTAAAATTACACCCATTGTCTTTGTAACAGAATAGTGTGCTGGTTGAGTCAATATTTAATAAATGTTGATTTTGCCTTCAGTAGTAGATGCCATTGGACTCTATAACACACGTAATAGACATTGTTTTTGCCTTACACAGTTAAGTCTGAATTCAAAGAACATGTGAAAAACATACAAAAGAAGATATATTTTCTTAGAGCTTTTTCATATAAGTGCTAGGAGGTTGTTTAAAAGTAGAAGTTGTTTTGTAAATGAATGAATAAATGCTAGGACAAATGAATTAGCCAAAGCTGGGTGGGATATGTTAGGAAAATAGAGGTATCTGGGAGATGTGTGTGTTTTATTGGGGGACAAAGGGCGGAGACATTGCCAGTGATTAAGCTTAGATAAATGTGGGAAGGAGTATTTCCAAGCAGAGTAATAATAGTAACAGCTGCTAGTATTTCTTTACTTTTACTGTGTGCCAGGTACACTGCTAAGTAATTTGCATGTCTCTTCAGTCCTGTAAAGCTCGGAGAAATTGAGTAATTTGTGTAAGGTCATCAGGAAGTAAGTGGAGGGCCATGTGTTAAAGCCAGGCAGGTTGACATTTTTGTGGTACATTTAAATTGTGTTGATGATCTTGAGTTGCCTGTCATGTGGAATGACCACTCTGTGCCTTATGAAATTGCTAGGAATGTTTCTGGGGTTTGATATCTGTATTAAGAAGAGAACTTATTTTCATAATGTAGTCTTTAATTGAACCTGGTGAAGATCCTCTACACCACTTTGTGTTCTATTTATTTAAGAAACTTCTTTATAGACATCAGCAGTCTTTTTTTCTTTTTTATTTATTTTTATTTTTTAAAGATTTTATTTATTTGACAGAGAGTGAGACAGCGAGAGAGGGAACATAGGCAAGGGGAGTGGGAGAGGGAGAAGCAGGCTTCCCACAAAGCAGGGAGCTCACGGGAGCTCGACTTGGGGCTTGATCCCAGGACTCTGGGATCATGACCTGAGCCAAAGGCAGATGCCTAACGACTAAGCCACCCAGACGCCTCATCAGCAGTCTGATGGTGCTTGTATATGAAGGCAGAGTCATAATACATTAGAGCAGTGATTCCCAAAGGCTTTCTTTCAAGTCCTCAGACCAATTTCCATGGTAAAGTGAGAAAAAAATGAGAGGAGGGAGTGTTTGATAATGATACATTATTTGGTGATTGGTCTTCCTGCTTCTATAATTTTAAAATGCCCATTCTTTGTGAATTAATGGTGGTAGTAAAATCATAGTTTATGTATTCGTAAGTTTTTACTTGGCAAAATAGAGTTAACATCCCTATGTTAGTCCCTTTGTTCATTGTGTAATTTTTAATTTGTTGTGGTATTTGAAAACCTGAAAACCACTACTCTATAGATGATACTTTTTCTCTTATTCCGTTTTATTTCCTTTATTGGCTTATAAGTTATAATTTCTTTTTAGGTGCTTGCTTTACGGTTTATAGCATGCAAGTCTAACTTCACAATTTACCTTCAAGTGGTTTTATTTCTTTTTGTGTATAGTATAAAAACCTTACAACAAGGGCGCTGGGTGGCTCATTAGGTTGAGGGTGGCTCAGTCGGTTGAGCGTCAGACTCTTGGTTTCAGCTTAGGTCATGATCTCTTGGGTTGTGGGATCCAGCCCCCGGTTGGGCTCCTTGTTCAGCAGGGAGTCCGCTTGAAGGATTCTCTTCCTCTGCCCTTCCCCCTGCTCGTTCTCTCTCTTAAAATAAATAAATAAATCAGTCTTAAAAAAAACACAAACAGAAACCACCAAACCTTACAACAGTATTCTCCCATTTTCTCTCAACTGGCCTTTGTACTGTTGTTACACATTTTACTTCTACTTATGTTATAAATTCTGTAATTCATTATTTTTATTTTTTCTTTAAAAGGTTAATTATCTTTAAAGAGATTTAAACAATAAGAGAAAGGAATATTTCACATTTACCCACATATGTACCATTTACCATATTTGCCATCTTGACTCTTCATTCTTTTTTTTTTTTAATTAAGATTTTATTTATTTGACAGTGAGAGCGAGAGCATGCACTCACAAGCAGGGGGAGCAGCAGAGGGAGAGGGAGAAGCAAGCTTTCTGCTGAGCAGGGAGCTCAATGTGGGGCTTGATCCTGGAACGCCATGGCTCATGACCAGAGCCAAAGGCAGATGCTTAACTGACTGAGCTACCCAGATGCCCCTTGACTCTGCATTCTTTTGTGTAGATCCAGATTTCCTTCTGCCTTAAGGGCTTCTTTTAACATTTCTTGTAGTATAGGTCTGCTGGTAAGGAATTCTTCAAGCTTCTGAATGTCTGAAAAAGTCATTATTTTGTCCTTTTTTTTTTTTTTTAAAGATTTTATTTATTTGTTTGAGAGAGAGAGAAACAGCATGAGAGGGGAGAGGGTCAGAGGGAGAAGCAGGCTTCCCGCTGAGCTGGGAGCCAGATGTGGGACTTGATCCCAGGACTCTGGGATCATGACCTGAGCTGAAGGCAGTCGCTTAACCAACTAAGCCACCCAGGCGGCCCCTTATTCTTTTTTTTTCTTTTTTTTTTTTTTGGTCTTTATTCTTGAGATATTTTTGCTGGGTATAGATTTGCTCCACTGTCTTTTTGGCTGACACTGTTTCTGACAGGAAATCTGCAGTCACTTCTTTCTTTGCTTCTTCATACTTAATGTGTCTTCTTTTGGTGCTTTTATGATTTTATTACAGCTTTTAAATAATTCGATTATGGTATGTCTTCGTTTAGGTTTTTAAAAAAATACGCATCTTTTGCTCAGGATTCATCGAGTTTCTTGGATCTGTGGGTTTAGAATTTTCATGAAATTTGGAAAAATTTCAGCCATTATTTCTTCAAATATTTTTAAGTACTCTGTAAACTTATATTTTCCTCTCCCTTCTGAAGGTGTGGAAGATGTTATAATAACTGGTTAATGGGGACGCCTGGATGGCTCAGTCGGTTAAGCGGCTCCCTTTGGCTCAGGTCAAGATCCCAGGACTCTGGGATCGAGTCCCACATCGGGCTTCTTGCTCAGCAGGGAGCCTGCTTCTCCCTCTGCTTGCAGCTCCCCCTGCTTGTGCTCTTGCTCATTCTCTCTCGCCCACGCTCTCTCTAGCAAATAAATAAATAAAATCTTAAAAAAACCCCAAAAAACTGGTTAATGGCATTGCCTGTTCTATCATCTGTATCATTTCTGGGTCTATTTCTGTGAATTGAATTTTTTCCTCATTATGGGTAGCATATCCTGCTTCTTTGCCTGCATGATGATTTCTTTTTTTTTTTTAAAGATTTTATTTATTTATCTGACAGAGAGAGTGAGAGAAGGAACACAAGCAGGGGGAGTGGGAGAGGGAGAAGCAGGCTTCCCGCAGAGCAGGGAGCCCAATGTGGGGCTCGATCCCAGGACCCTGGGATCATGACCTGAGCCGAAGGCAGACGCTCAACGACTGAACCACCCAGGCGCCCCTGCATGATGATTTCTTTTTGGAGGCTGGGCATTGTGCATTTTACCTTGTTGGGTACTGGTTATTTTTGTATTCCTTCAAACATTCTTTTTTTTTTTTTAAGATTTTTTTTTTTTCATTTGAGAGAGAGAGAGAGAGAGCATGAGAAGGGGGTGGGTCAGAGGGAGAAGCAGACTCCCCACTGAGCAGGGAGCCTGACTCGGGACGCCATCCTGGGACTCCAGGATCATGACCTGAGCCGTAAGGCAGTCGCTCAACCAACTGAGCCACCCAGGCACCCCCCTTCAAACATTCTTGAGCTTTGTTCTAGGACACACTTAAGTTACTGAGAAACAATTTGATTCTTTTGAGGTTTGCTTTAAGCTTTGTTAGGTAGAACAAGACCAGCCTTTAATTTAGGCCTAATATCCTCCTCTTTCATCTTCCCCAGTGCTCCATGTATTACCCAGTTTTCCAATTTTGGGTCACAGGAACATGAACTATTCCTGGCCTTGTATGAGCTGCAGGGATTATGTCTCCTGCTCTTTCCAGGTGTTTTTTTTCTTGGCCTTGGGTAATTTACTGTTATGCATGCACTGATCTCTTTAGTCTCTTTCTGCACATCTCTCTCCTCTCCATGCACTCTGCAGTACTCTGTCCTGCAAATTCTAGTTGTCTTGATCTCCCTGAAGTTTCAAGTCTGGCTTCTCAGCTCAGGGAGACTGCTGGGCTCTGCTTTTCTCTCTGCATTGCCTCCTATAAGTTTTCTAGGCAGGAAGCAGTAAGCTGGGACAATCCTAGAGCTCCCCTTATTTTTTTCCCATTTTTTGTGATCGTTGTTATATACCATTAACACCTTTTACCTTTTGAGGGGGTAATTTATATATATATATTTTTAGATTAATTCAGGATTTGGGCTTAAGCATGGAAGTTGGCACATAGTAGATATTCATTAAATATTTGAATGAAAAGGGGTGCCTGGGTGGCTCAGTCATTAAGCGTCTGCCTTCAGCTCAGGTCGTGATCCCAGAGTCCTGGGATCGAGCCCCCGCATCGGGCTCCCTGCTCGGCGGGAAGCCTGCTTCTCCCTCTCCCACTCCCCCTGCTTGTGTTCCCTCTCTCGCTGTGTCTCTCTCTGTCAAATAAATAAAATCTTTAAAAAAATTTTTTTTGAATAAAAAAATGAGGATTTGGTCAAGGGGTTTATTATAAGATCTATAGGAGTTGTTCAGGTGTTGCTCTTTCTTATTGAAGGCATTGGAATGTCATGTAACTGACTAGTTTTTGTCATATATGGGTATTATCTGTTGAAATTTACCAAGGAGCAATAAATTTGTTAATCCATGAGCAAGTAAGTAACTATTTTACCATTAGTTAAGTATAGAGCATTATTGTCTTGTCTCAAAATAAGATGGAAAATGAGCGAACTTAGAGTAGTTGGCAGACATAGTTGTGGGAACTATCTTTGGAAACCATGGTATATATATATACACATTTTAGATATATGATTAAAGTTTTTTTTATCACTTTTTATAAATAAAATTGTCTAAAAAATTAAGTCTAGCGGATGTTTGTTTGTTGTTGTTGACTCATTTATATCCAGTTTGAGTGTGATTGAAGTTAAAGTTCAGGTTTTTTTAGTGATTTTATTTTTAAGTAATCTCTTCACCCAATGTGGGGCTCGAACCCACAACCCCTAGATCAAGAGTTGCACGCTCCACCAGCTGAACGAGCCAGGTGCCCTGAAAGTTCATTTATTTTATTTTATTTTTAAAAATTTATTCATTTGAGAGAGAGTGAGGGAGCACAAGCAAGGGGAGGGTTACAGAGAGAAGGAGAAGCAGACTCCCCGTTGAGCGGGGAGCCTGATGTGGGGCTCAATCCCAGGACCGTAGGACCATGACCTGAGCCGAAGGCAGATGCTTAGTCACTTAGCCGGCTGAGCCACCCAGGCGCCCCCAAAAGTTCATTTAAATGAAAATGTTCTTAATAATGTTTTGCCTTTTAGATAGGCACTTATTTCTAAGTTTCTAGAATGGTTGATTTGTGGGCGCATGGGTGGCTCAGTTGGTTAAGCAGCTGCCTTCGGCTCAGGTCATGATCCTGGAGTCCCTGGATCGAGTCCCGCATCGGGCTCTCTGCTCGGCAGGGAGCCTGCTTCTCCCTCTGACCCTCCCCCCTCTCATGTGCTCTCTCTCTCTCTCTCATTCTCTCTGTCTCAAATAAATAAATAAAATCTTTAAAAAAAATGGTTGATTTGTAAAAGAATGCAAAGTTTTTCAGTAAAGCAGTGTTTGATGCTCTGAATGTTAGATGAATATATGTCAAAGACCTAAAATTTGGGGGTTCTTAGGAGTAGAAAGTATAAGTTGTTTCTTAAACATCATTTAAATATCACATTAATGATCTTTTCCATATTAGTAATTCCCCCATTTTTTGGCCTTCGTTTACTTAATATTTTTTCTTGATTCTGTTCACTTTTAAAAATCACGAATGCATTTCTTTAAAAAAGAAACAAAGGGAAAAGCATTCTAATTTTGATAGAGGATAACCATAAAAATGAAAACAGTGAATATAAAATGGTGGTAAAAAATTTTAGCTATATTCTGTTGCCATTGGAAAGCTCTGAGCCTGAAGCCTGCTCTCTGTTAAGAAGAGAGTTTAGCAAATGTTACAGAAGTGTTACAGACCTATTAGTACCAAAGTGAGTCTTTGTCCTTGATACTGTGATGAAAAAATTGAAACAGGTCTAGCTTTCTCAGTGTGGTTCAGTGCTACTTAGTGTCCTGTCCAGATTTTTGAAGCATAGTGTAAGAAGGTATTCTTATGAAAAAAAGAGAAAGCACTTGTATTTACTCCTAAACAGGCAAAAAGAAAGGGAGAAAGAGTAGGATCAGGAGATACTGGGGTGTGTGGCTTATTCAGTTGGTAGAATATGTAGTGCTTGATCTCAGGCTCCTGAGTTCAAGCCCCACATTGGGTGTGGAGCCAACTTAATTAAAATAAGTAAATAAAAGAATGAGATACTATGTTGCCTTCAGAGAGAAAAAGTTTAAATGGAATTTAGAGACTGGTCTGATTTTATTTTGGCAGAGAGATTTGCTGTTCAATATCAGCTCTCTAGTCATTGATTTGTCTTTTCTATTAGTGTCATACTTCCATTAATTTTTGTTTACCACTCAAAATAATCTAGTTATTTGTAATATACATGCATGTTTTTTGAATCTACTAGAGGATAGTAGACAATGAGAAGATGAATGCAGAAAAGTCATCAAAACAGAAAGTGGATCTCCAGTCTTTGCCAACTCGTGCCTACCTGGATCAGACAGTTGTGCCTATTTTATTACAGGGACTTGCTGTGCTTGCAAAAGAAAGGTAAGATAATAGTGTCTGCAAATGGAGTTACCAGAGAAAGCTAAATAAAGACTTCCCTAATTGAAATATCACTAGTTTAAAAAAAAGAGAAAAAAAGGAATATCATTAGTTGTGTTATTTATAAAATATAAGAAATTTATGGATATTAGAGTTAAAAAAAAGTAAGTCAACCATAATATCATCCATTCAGACACTTTCATTTCTCTCTTCTAGTGTTAGATCATCTGCATATTTGTAAAGCTTTGTAATCATGGTATACATGTAATTTTATATGTCCTTTGTACTTAATATTATAACATAAAACTTTTTCCATATCTCTGCATAGCCTTTGTGATTATAATTTGATTATAACAATACCACAATTAATTTAGCCATTTTCTCGTTGTTGAACTCCTAGGTCCAATTTCCTTTGTTAATCTAGGTTAGCAGGCAATTTATATGTTTTCATGCCTCTTTTGACTTTGTTTAATTACTTTTTTTAAGATTTTATTTATTAATTTGACAGAGACAGCGAGAGAGGGAACACTGCAGGGGGAGTGGGAGAGGGAGAAGCAGGCTCCCCGCTGAGCAGGGAGCCCGATGCAGGGCTCAATCCCAGGACCCTGGGATCATGACCTGAGCCGAAGGCAGATGCCTAACGACCTGAGCCACCCAGGCACCCCTTTAATTACTTTCTTAGGATAAATTTCCAAGAGTTGATTTGCTAGTTTGAGGAACATGACTATTACAGTGTTTGACACATAAAAACACTTTTCTGTCCAAAAGTTTATCCTTAAATTTCTTCCACTATCATAACATCAACAGCATGAGTATTATTATAAACTTTTCTTGCCAAGCTCTTTTGATTTGTATTTCTTTGTTAGCAACATTACAGTTTTTTTCTGTACATGTTTTTTCCTTATGATTCTACCTAAGTTTTTTTGTACAAGCAAATCCAATAAGAAAAATATTGGTTATGTGTATAAAATAGAATTTGTTTATGACTGCAGGATATGTCTTGGCTCTAATACTGTCAATTAAAATATGGGCATCTTTTATATATTTTTTTGTTCTTTATCTACAGAAGGTCGATACAGGGGAATTATGAATATTGCTTTAAATGCTGGAAGGAAAAATTTGGAGTTTTAAAGTAACATGCTGTTAGTAAATACACTTTTTAAGTAAGGAATTCTGGCAAAATTATTCATGAAATGAATCATAAATATTATGTGAAAAATTGTTTATGTCTAGGCAGTTCAAAAGACTGTTTAAAATGCTAAGGGAATGTTTTGAGATCATTGTAAATTAATTCTAAATATGCCTTTTCTTTCTTTTTTTTTTTTTTCTAGATTTTATTTATTTTTCAACAGAGAGAGAGACAGCGAGAAAGGGAACACAAGCGGGGGGGAGAGGGAGGGGGAGAAGCAGGCCTCCCGCCGAGCAGGGAGCCAGATGTGGGGCTCGATCCCAGGACCCTGGGACCACGACCCGAGCCGAAGGCAGACACTCAATGACTGAGCCACCCAGGCGCCCCTAAATATGCCTTTTCATAGTAGGATTTTAAATAGCTGATTCCCCCAACTTTTCATCTTTCAACTTGTTTTCTCAGCAAGAATAATTTATGGAAAAGTGATAAATATGACTATATCTTTTGTTAACATTTTTCCTAGTTTTATTGAGAAATAATTGACATATATCACTGTATAAGCCTAAAGCATATAGCATAGTGGTTTGATTTACATATATTGTGAAATGATAACCACAGTGGGTTTAGTTAACATCCATCGTCTTACACAGATGCAATAAAAAGGAAAAAAGAAATAAAAAGAAATTCTCCTTGTGATGAGAACTCTTAGGTCCTTCCCTCAACAACTTTGCTGTCTGTCACACAGCAGTGTTAGCTGTGGTCATTGTAGCGTACATCATAGCCCTGGTGCTTACTCGTCTTGGAACTGGAAGTGTGTTCCTTTTGACCACCTTCCTCCAGTTCCTCATTCTCCCACCACTTAATTTTTTTTTTTAAAGATCTTATTTATTTATTTGACAGAGCTAGAGAGAGAGAGAGAAAGCACAAGTAGGCAGAGCAGTAGGCAGAGGGAGAGGGAGAAGCAGGCTTCTCTTGACCAGAGACCCAGGACCCTGGGATCATGACCTGAGCCAAAGGCTAATGCTTAACCGAATGAGCCACCCAGATGCCCTTACTACCTCTTGATTTTAAAATATGTTTAACTTCTCAGTTGCACTGTGTGGTAGCAGTATTAGAACTATTAGTGATTTAAGTATTTGAAGTAAAATAGAGGTGCCTTTTCTTTCTTTTTTTTTTTTAAAGATTTTATTTACTTGTCAGAGAGAGAAAGAGAGACAGGGCACAAGCAGGGGGAGCGGCAGGCAGAGGGAGAAGCAGGCTCCCTGCTGAGCAAGGAGCCCAGTGTGGGACTTGATCCCAGTACCCTGGGATCATGACCTGAGCCAAAGGCAGACGCTTAACCGACCGAGCTACCCAGGCATCCCTAGAGGTGCCTTTTTAAAAAGAAACATACCAGTACTTGTCCAAATGAATATTGAATCCTTTGATTAGTTTTTCGGGTGTTGATCCACTTGTCTCAGTGATGCTACAGCCATTTTCCCATATTGTTTTTGTACTCTTATTGAAGGGTAATACCTGCGGAAAAATTGTGCGTATCGTAGGTGTATGGTTTGATGAATTTTCAGAATCTAGACATATCCACATAACTTGCACTCAGATCAAGAAATGAATACTGTCAGAATACTCCAGAATTCTCCCTCATGACCCCTTTAAGTCATTATCCCCCCTGGGTAATCGTCATCCCATTGTCAAAAATTACATTTTTGAAACTTGTGTTTTAGAATTGTGTTTATAACCAGATTTAAGCCATACAAAACTTTCAGTCTCTTTTAACTATGTTGTTGACTAACCTACTTGCCTGTTTTACTTAACCGTATTTACCACAAATGGCCTTTGAGTATAAAATGAAAATTAATCTGAAAAAGATGTGTTTCTGTTATGGAACAATACATTTAAGTTAATACACTTAGAATATAAATTTCTAAATTTTGGATTTCTTTTCCCTTACAGACCACCAAATCCCATTGAATTTCTAGCATCATATCTTTTAAAAAACAAGGCACAGTTTGAAGATCGAAACTGACTTATTGGGAAGAACAGAAAAATTTGGTTTCTACCTGTAGATTTACATGATTAAGAGGCAGCTTTAATTGCCATGATTTTCCCCCCTTTTTGGAAGTATAAGAACCTTCAGGACAACAGAACTTATTTCCGGAATTACAGAAGAAAACATATATCCCTTATTTTGATTTAATCACCATACTTATTTAATGAGTGTATTCTGTGCAATTTTTTCTCAGATTGTCTTTAACTTTGTTTTTAAAATGACCTTCAAAATAAACTGTTAAACGTCATTATTTGAAAGTAGTTTTTGTTTTATATGACAAATATTTTATATGGTTCAGTTATTTTCATGAATTGCTTCTTTCTTGGGTCTTAGAATGCTGCAGAATTTTACAACAGCATGAATATACATCAGAGTCAAGTTCAACCTAAAAAAAAATCTCAGCCAGTTTTTCTTGGACCTCTTGGAGGGTGGGATCTGGGCATTTTCAGTTTTTAACATCACAGGTGACTAATGAACAATGAAGTTGGAGTATTGATATAAGCATTGTGGAGGGTGTGCAATATCCTTCATTGCTATAAACCTTTATGGTAGTAATATAATAGCTGTCTTTTATTGCAATTCTATGTATCAGGCATAAGTACTATTTTACTTAAATTATCTTTAATATAGCAACTCTACAAAGTAGATATTGTTATTCCCATTTTGCAGATGAGGAAACATTTGGAGAGGTTAAGTGACTTGTTCAAGACCACACTGCTGGTAAGTGCTTGAATGGCATTCAAACCCAGTTCTGAATCTGTTGCTGATAGCTATGTGAGAAGTACTTGTGCGAGTTCACATCCTTGCTTCTTTTGGCAATAAAAAACATCAGCCAGTCCTTTTTTGGGGGTCTGCTCACTTTGTCCTGTATGAAAAAATTAAGATAACTCATTAGCTCAGAAAAAAGAAAACTGTCTGAAGAAAGCCAGGCAGGAAGCATATTAAGAGAAACGGTTCTCGGTGGGGAATGACTTTGCCCTCTCACTCCAGAGGACATTTGGCAGTGTCTAGAAACATTTTGGGTGTCACTACTGTAGTAAGGTGGAGTTCTACTGGCATCTAGTGGGTAATGTCCAGGAATGCTGCTAAATATTTTAGAATACACAGGACAACCTGCATGCCCCACCCATTCACAAGAATTATCCAGTTCAAAATATCAGTCAGTGCTAAGGTTGGAGAAACCCTGTTTTGGGGGTACCTGGCTGGCTCAGTTGGTAGCAGGCAACTCTTGGTCTCAGGATCATGAGTTTGAGCGCCACATTGGGCATAGAGTTTACTTAAAAAAAAAGAAAGAAACCCTGGGGCGACTGGGTGGCTCAGTCCTTGAGCATCTGCCTTCGGCTCAGGTCATGGTCCCAGGGTCCTGGGATTGAGCCCCGCGTCAGGCTCCCTGCTCCGCAGGGGGCCTGCTTCTCCCTCTCCCACTCCCCCTGCTTGTGTTCCCTCTCTCGCTGTGTCTCTGTCAAATAAATAAAATCTTAAAAAAAAAAAAAAAAGACACATTAAAGATGTGTGTCCAAGCTAAACATGTGAAGGCAAAGTTGAGGTATGAGGTATGCTGATGAGGTATGTCTTATAGTTCCTTTAATACAGGAAAAGCTTATTTCAGTAGGAGTGATGCATGTGGGGAGGGGACATGGTTTTGATTTAAAATTGCAGATCTATATAATTTGCATAGGAAAAACCTGCAAAGATTGGGATCTCTTGCTTATAAAGTAGTTTCCACAAATACTAATTCCATCAGATACATTTTGGTTATTTGGCTAACTCCTACATTAATCTGCCCAAGTCTTTTTTGTGATATTTTAACGTTTGATTAAGTACTAATTGGGTAATTTTTTATTAAAGCATCAATAGTTTATCATCTTACAGCAGTTCTTCATCCGTGATTCACATCAGAGCCACTTGGGGAACTTTTCATATATATTTCATATATAAAGAGCCCTGGAGAGCCTGATTAAATTGTGATAGAGCCTGGCTTCTAAATTTGACAAAAACTCTTTAAGGCATTCCAATAGACCCCTCTGCTTAAGACCACTTAGAAGTAATGTAGTACTCTGCCTAGTGCTATATTACTTCTAGTGTTCTATTGAATTGTCTTTGAGTTGGGGCTTAAATTACTCAATCTTGAAATTGATACTTTTTAAAGTAACAGCTGAGAATAGGCGTATCTTTTGCTGGCAGTACACATGCTACTTAACCGAACACTTATCATGTGCTAGGCACCATGCTAAATACATGAATTGTATAATCCTCAAAGCCCTGTGAGGTACGTTTAATTTTAATACCTCATTTTTAGATGAGAAAAGTGAGATTTTGTTACGTTGCTCAAGGTTATAGGGGAAATAACTTTGGGGCAGGGATTCAAAGCCAGCATAACGCTCTATTACTTTTCCTTAATGCTATATTACCCTCTGCTCTAATGCTTTCAGGTGTGCTTAAAATTTTTCTTTGGGGGAAAGTCAGTCTGCTCTCTTGTGTGTATAGTAGAAGCCCTTTTATCTAGTTGGTTGATGAAAAAGTGAGCCATGGTAGGAAATCATAAATGACACTGAATGGTTTTTTTAAAACTTAAACATGTTAATCTGTATTAACTTGTTAATATTTCTGTTCCAATCTTTTCTCTGGGATTGGGTTCTCTGATTGGAATTCTGTATCATTTTTCTTCCTCAAACCACTCCTGTGATGTATGGTTTGCACATTTCAGTCTCAAGTTTTTTTGAGAGTAGAATATGCTTTTAGACATTTAAGCAGTAATTTGTAGAATCCTATGCTTTTTTCATGATTTTGTTCTCCAGCCTTCAGTTATCTTACCTGCCTCTAATTTGACAGTTTTTACTTAATCTTTCCAAAGCATTCCACCTAATTTGTGTATCCCTTTTGCATTATGTGTTTGTATTTCATTGGTTTATGTAATATTTAATTAAATTATGTAATGATAGTACCTAGTGCAACTGGCCTAAGTAAGCTGGAGAACACTATTGACCTTTGTTAGTTATGCACACAAACCTGGGGAGGAGTCTGCAATCATGTGAGAGTTTCCTAAAGAGTGTAGTCTGTAAGCTTACGAGTTCAACTTTATTATACCCTGGGACGGGAGAACATCACTTACTCTGGTAAGCTGGTGAAATAGAAACCAGTTAAGCAAATTTCTCTATACTTTGATGAGGTATTTTACATGTAGCTGGCAATTGTATTATAGAAACCATTCCTACCCTTTGAATGCTTAATGGATAGGTTATTGTTTTGTAAACAAATACAGAAATAGAGTAGAAAGTCCTATATGTTATAGAGTGAATTCTTGAATTACATTGGTAGGTAGGTTAGTGGGAGGACCAGTAGAGCAAGTGAGGCATAGATAAGTAGAGGAAATAGAGACCTTGAATTGAAAAAAGGAAAAATGGTTTGGATAGAATGACAACATTGTCTACTTAATTCTGATGATCCTATGGGAAGAATATTGAACCTTTGCTTAAATTTTATTTAGGAGAAGGTATAGTGGGATTTTAAGATTGATAACTTCCTGTTAGAAACATAGAATGGTGGTAGGGATAGCATAACATATTATAGCCAGATATTTTTCTGGACTGGATTCCAAAAAGGCATTAACAAATTGGAGGCCTGATACATATCATCAAACTAGAAATGAGGGACGAAGTTGAAAGCTGTAAATGGCTATCACTGAGAATCTATTTATTTAAAAATCTCTACATTTAAATTAGGAAAGTAGGAAAGTAATATAATAGTGGAAAATAGGTCACCAGATATAAAAGGGCCAGGCAGTAATGAATAAGAATTTTCTTTAGGGGTGCCTGGGTGGCTCAGATGGTTAAGCTTCTGCCTTCAGCTCAGGTCATGATCCCAGGGTCCTGGGATCGAGTCCCGCATCGGGCTCCCTGCTAGGCGGGGAGCCTGCTTCTCCCTCTGCCTCTGCCTCTCTCTTTCTCTGTCTCTCTCTGACTCTCATGAATAAATAAATAAAACATTAAAAAAAAAAGAATTTTCTTTAAAAAAAAAACCTCTTATCAGCCTTTTAAAAAAACTTAAAAATCTTTTTTTTTTTTTAAAGATTTTTTATTGATTTATTTGACAGAGAGAGAGCGAGAGAGGGAACACAAGCAGGGGGAGTGGGAGAGGGAGAAGCAGACTCCCTGCTGAGCAGGGAGCCCAATGCGGGGCTCAATCCCAGGACCCTGGGGTCATGACCTGAGAAGGCAGCCGCTTAACCAACTGAGCCACCCAGGTGCCCAACTTAAAAATCTTTTAACTCTGCTATTTCATTTCTGGGGATTCTAAATAATACTAACAATAAATATGAAAAAAGTTTTATAAAATTTATTCAAAAAAATTGGAAGTGAGCAAATTTTTATCTTAAGAATCACTAAATATGTACTTAGCTCAGTGTCAGGTACATAGTTAAGTGTTTAATAAATATTACTTATTAAGTTTGGCTTATAATGGGAGGGCAAACTTGACACTAGATTAGAGTACTAGTTTTTTTTTTTTTAAGATTTTATTTATTTGAGAGAGAGCATGAGAGAGAGAGAGAGAGAGCACAAGCAGGAGAGGCAGAGGGAGAGGGAGAAGCAGACTCCCCAGTGAGCTGGGAGCCTGACATGGGGCTCGATCCCAGAACAGTGAGATCATGACCTGAGCCGAAGGCAGACGCTTAACCATCTCAGCCACCCAGGCGCCCCTAGCTTTTTATTTATTTATTTATTTATTTTAAATTGAAGTACAGTTGACACACACAATGTTACATTAGTTTCAGGTTTACAACATAGTGATTCAATAACTCTGTAAGTTATGCCGTGCTCACAAGTGTAGCTACCGTCTGTCACCATACAACGCTATTACAAGACCATTGACTGTATTCCCTATACTGTACCTCTCATCCCTGTGACTTACTCATTCCATAACTGTAATCTTCCAGTTTCTGGAAGAAACTTCTGTTTCTGCTTTTTTGTTTATTCATTTTTGTTTTTTAGATTCTACATGTAAGTGAAATCATAATGGTATTGGTCTTTCTTAAAGTACCAGTTTTAATTGAAATCAAAAGAGCATCTTTATGCTAAACTCGTCTCTCAACTTTGATTTTTTCAAAATTCTGTGGTTTTATTCTAAAATATTTTTTGGATATAGGGCTTTTAGTTATTAGTGGACTCCTCAAACTGTCCGCTGTGGATAAGTAAATTATAAAAATGGTCAATTTAATATTGCCATGTGGATTCCAAAAATCAAGCCTAAAGATGTATTTTGTGTGTGTGTGTCGGTACTATATGTGTATGGCACAAAATTCCAAAGATACACAAAACTTTAAATCTTTTGTCCATCCTTGCACTTCAGCCACCTAAACAAGTACTGTTACCAGTTTATTGTGTTTTCTTCTAGAAGTATTCTGTGTATATGCAAGTGTATGAGAATACATTTTTAAAGTATTCATTTTTACACGAATGGTAGCATTCTTTACACATTGTTCTGCAATCTGCCTTTTTTTCTTTTAGCTCTATATCAGTATAGAGAGCTTATTCTTTTTAATGGGTGCATATGTAACAAGTCTCATATTGATGGATATTGTGGTTGTGCTAGTTGTTTGCTAATATAGACTGATGCAGTGAATATAGGACATGCTTTTTCAGAACATATGTTGGTTTCTGGGACTAGTGGTGCTTTATTTATTAAAGTCTGCTTTATAGGGACTCTCTTATTAGTGAGGAATTCCTCCTTACCTTTTGCTATGACTGATGTTTATGGAGTGTCAAACTCAAATCCCCAGTGGATATAATGGAAATTGTTAATACATGGGAATTGTACATATTGCCAAACAGGCTTCTCCTGGGATATGAAATGAGTATTTTGCATTATATGGGTCTCCATTAATTTAGGGGAGGTAAGTGAATAGTTTCAACATATTTCTTTCAAGAGTCTATCCTTGAATAAGGTAGCTAAAAAAAGATGGACAGAAGGAATAATGATGGGATATATTGAGAGCATTCTAGAGATAATAGAAAGTTTTTTAACCTTTCACTTTTTGGGGCGCCTGGGTGGCTCAGTCATTAAGCATCTGCCTTTGGCTCAGGTAATGATCCCAGGGTCCTGGGATGGAGCCCTGCATCTGGCTCCCTGCTCCGCGGGAGGCTTGCTTCTCCCTCTCCCACTCCCCCTGCTTGTGTTCCCTCTCTCACTGTGTCTCTGTCAAATAAATAAATAAAATCTTAAAACAACAACAGCAACACCTTTCACTTTTCTTGGCATTGTGGTCTTTGCTGAATTTGACCAGTAAGAAAAATCCTTTGGGGAAAGAAGCCACCAACAGAGCATTTTCATAGGGAGGAAGCTTAAATTTAAATTAGGTTACTAGTTTGGAATGAGTCCTAGGATTGTTGCTAGGAGCAGAGGATAATGATAAGAAGAAACAAAGAACAGCTTATAAATTGTTTTCAGAATATTTTCACTTTACTTAATGATTCTTACAGCAAGCCTGTGAGTTAGATATTACTGCTCTTTGCATTTGACAGATGAGAAGACTGAGGCTTGAAAAGGTTACATTACTAGATGCCCATGATCACCGCTGGTGAGGGACAGAGCCATGACTCAAATCTGATCTTCTAATTTGACCAGCCTGAAGTATGAAGTTCATTGTATTCAGTGTTCCTTCCATCCTTTTTTTGGGTATAGAAACAGAATCAGGAATCATTAACTTCAAAAGCTATCACTGCTTATCAATGCCACATCAACCATATCAACAGTTTTCCTTTTCTTGAAATTTATGATGAAAAGTTTACCAGTTTACCATGCCATCATTTACCACTGATTTTTGGGGCTCTAGGAAGAGTCCTGTGGAATTAGCTGCAACCCGCCTTTCTGTTATCTTTAAAACGACTATTTGGCACATCTCTTTTTTTTTTTTTCCTGCATAATATGTAATATTTCGGCAGGTTAGTGGTGAAGTGAGAGGGTTAAAATTTGAGTAAAGAAATACATGTCAGTGGATATTTAATCTAATAACTGTAGAAAAAGTTGTGAAAGCCAGTAATATTCCAGTAATTGACCAGGCTTTTAGGCCGGAGATCTCACACAAGATCCTTGGGGCTTAACGTTGAAAAAATTGGAGGAGGGGTGGGAACAGGATAGTAAATTAAAAAAATATATATATGGCACTAGGGAAACTTGAGTATTAGGCAGCCAGATAGATATCTGCTTTGAACTCTACCAACGATGTTTAGTATGAAATTCAGATATAACAATTTTATGGTTTTAACCCTAAATCTTTCATTGAAGACATGCAAGTTTCTCTTTCTGTCCAGTTTTGGAATGGTCTACTTCATAACAACACTTCCTCCGGGGTCCAAGATATCCTACTTTCCTGTGGTTCTTCTCTAATTTTAAAGGAATTCTTTGTTCCTGACACTTATGTGAAATACTGGGGTTTATAAGAGAAGGAAGGGTTGGAAATAATGTTTGTTGTATGCATACTCTGTCAGGCTCTACATTTATTAACTCTTGTAATCCTAGGGACACCCCTTGAATATATTATCCCCTCTTCATAGATGAGAATTACAGGCTAGCTGTATCACACTTGAATCTAATTAGGGAGTTAAGACAATGCACCTACATCCGTATAAAATGAAGCAAGATCAATGTTTACAGTGTCAGAGCCAAGATTAGGTGGTAAAGGTGGCCCAGTGAAGCAAAAACTAGCATTTGCGGGGACCACAGGCACACGATCGTGTGCCTGTTTCTACAAATGAACTTCCCAACGTGGCCACAGGCTTGCATCCCTAGGAGTGAAACCTTGGGGGTGTGAATCCACCAAAGATTCGCGTGTATGAGGAGGTCGGGGAGGACAAGCCGGACTGTCCTCGCGGAAAGCCGCATCGGCGTGCCCTCGGAGCTCTTCATTTAAGGAAGTTGGCTGGGGGAGGGGGCTTGCCCTGCGGCTGCGTCCTGCTCCCCCCCCCGCCGCTCCCCCCTCCCCCCCAGCCTCTGCTGCCGCTAAACCCCGGAGAGCGGAGCGTGCACGTTGAGATTCCTCGGCGGGCCTGGCAGCGGCTGCTGGGCATGCTCAGTGGGCAGGACCCGTTAGAGTGGCGAGTAAGGAAGCGCTGGCTCTTCCCCGGGTCTGCCTTCCCCGGTTCAGGCCCCGGCCCTGGGCTTTTGTGTGAGCGGAGCTGCAGCCGCCGCTGCCTCCTCGCGGGGCCGCCTGACCCCAGATGCCGTCTGGCCTGCCCGGTTTCCGCCGTTAACCTCGCCGCGCGGCTGGAGGAGGAGCGGGCGGGGCGGGGCCGCGGGCCGGCGGCCGGGCGGGCGGGAGGGCCCTGCTGGGGGCGGGGGTGGGTGCGGGGAGTCCCGCGGGGGGTGGGGGGAGGGGCGGGCGCGGAGTCACGGGGGTGGGGTCACCGGCGGTGGCTCGGGGAGGCCAGCCCGGAGGGGAGGGGGCCGTGGGGGCGGCTCGGCGGAACCAGCCGCGGCTGGGGAGCAGCGGCGAGTCCGGGGGCCGGGGCCAGGGCTTTCCGGGCTTCGGTGCAGCCGCCGCGGGCCCCATCTTCCGGCGGTGGCCGGAGTTTGTGGTGATTGTCGCTGCCGCCGCCACCGCCCCGGCTGCCATCTCCTCCTCCTGGGCCGCCGCCTCCTCCTCCTCCTCCTCCTCCTCCTGGGCCGGGCTGGTCCCCTCCCCGCCGCCGCCTCCTCCTGGGCTGGGCCCGCGGTGTCTCGTCCCCTCGCGGAGCCGCTCCTGCCGCCGCCGCCGCCGCCTCCTCATTCATCCTCGTGCACCATAGGCGGCACAGGCACCAAGATGTCCAACCGAGTGGTCTGCCGGGAAGCCAGTCACGCCGGGAGCTGGTACACAGCCTCAGGTAGGGCCCCAGGCCGGCCGGCCCGTCAGCCCGCCGCCGCCGCCTGGCCCCGCGCCCGGCCGGCCGAGGTCCGCGGCCCGGCGCCGCGCGGCGGCGGGAGGGACGAGGGCGCGGACGGCCGCCTGCCGCGGACCGCGTGGGGAGGGAGCGGCCCGGAGGCCGGCCTCGCCGCCTCCCCCACCCGGGTGGCGTCCCGCCGGGCAGCCCGGGGCCGGCCGCCCTCTCGCTCACCGCGGAGTTGGGCGAGACGGGGAGTCGCCGCCTTGGCAGCATGCGCCCTCCCCCGGGACCGGGCTCGAGGCAGGAATGTGCTCCCGGTGCTCCCGGACCCGAGCCTACTTGTCGCCTCCTCCGGCTCCCGGGAAGCGGGCGGCCGAGCGCTGCCACCCCCGGGAGGACGGCTTGCCCGGCGCCCGAGCCCCGCTTCCCCCACCCGGAGCCGAGGGAGGGACGCGCGTTCCAGGGCTCGCGGTTGCTCGCGGCCGGCGGTCCGAGAGGCGCCGCGACCCGGGCACTTCTCGGTCTGGCAGTGGGCACGGCCGATTCTGCTCACCCGTCTCCTGCGGGGAAGTCTTCTCCCTCTTCGCTGGCAGTTTAGAAAGAGGCAGCGTCCCCCTCACCTTTAAGGTGCTCAGCGGTCTGGAAAGGAGTGCGGGGTAGTACTTTTTCCCGTTGCCAGACTAGAGAGAAGGTCTCCGCCCGTGCGGTCTGTTGCAGGAGGGCCTTTTCTGGGATTTGCAGCTCCTGTATGCTGGGGGTAGGGTAGAAGTATTGCCAAGCAGTGGCTTGGGGTGGCCTCCCAGCTCTTTTGTCAGTGTTTTCATTGTTACTGTCATTCACGGAAAGGGGCAGCTGGAGATGGCATCAGCACTTTTGCTCGGCAGCCTCACCAGTCTCTAGTCGCTCAACACCAAGCAGGTGCTGGAACTACCTAACGAATTAGATTAGGGTCTGAGCGAATTTAGTCTTCTGTCGACACTGTCTACAAACATTTTAGAGCTCTTTATGTAAGAAAGCCTAGGGACTTTCCCTTTAATAAACGTTTTGTTAGGACGACTGTTTTCTGGGATTACTTTCAGGAGTCACATTTCTGGTAAGTTAACGAAGAGAGTTCTGTGATTCCTAATAGTTTTCAGTCATTTGGTATTGGCTTATCAATAACTGGACCTAACTTTAATGTGGATCGCATCATGTTTCCTTTTGCAAATAGTTGGGTTGGGTAGTGACATGGTTTGTGAGACGACAAAGATTTGGAAGAAAATTCATTTCTCTGAAGTTGCTAAACGGGCTCATAAATACATGCACCTTCCTGACTTACTGAAGATGTGCTATGTTAAGAAGACACAAAAGAATCATAATGATTGGATTTGCAAGCCTAACAGGTAGCTGTCGTTTTGTACTAAGCAAATGATATTTGGCTTTCCTTCATGGTCCTAAAGTACTTCATAAACATTTAATCAATTCCCACAGCCTGAGAATGTCAGTTAAGCTTTTCTTGTTCAACATATGGGGATGTGCCCAAGACTCTGTACTAGCCAGTGGCAGAACAGGAATTGAGAAATGGGAGTCCCTGGCTCCTGGGCTTGTCCTCCATTAAGTGCATTATTAATATTCAATTTATCAATGCATAGTTGTCTTTTCTGGGTTACAAGTCACTAAGCTGCTTCCTTCAATGTGTTTTGAAGGGTTAGAAAGTCTCAGTTTTCACTTTCATGGCCATCTTTTGATTTATTTCTTTTAGTTTTGTTTTCTATATCTTTCTAGAAGTGTTTTATACTTTTTTATGTAGTTTGCCTTGAAATTTGGGCAAATGATTCTGGAGGAATTTTTATAGATTCTTGAATATTCTTAGGGTAGTAAAATAAGACATGGTTCACACTTTGGACTTGAAAAGACGTCTTCAGTAATGTTCTCAATTATAAGAAGAAACCTTTAATTCAGCTCAAAACATCCTCTGATTACAGCTATTTATTAGTAGTGAATGAAAATGAACTATTTTCTTTTTCTTTTTTTTTGGTGTAAGCACAGTTTTTTTTTTTTTTTACAGTGTTTTATTAGTTTCAGGTGTACAGTATAGTGATTCAACAATTCCTAAAATGGACTATTTTCTTAAAAATTTGAAATGCAGTCTTATTTCCCTAAATTCTCAATGAAATCAATAATGCCATTTTGATAATGTGAATTGTTATAGAGAATGTTATTGTTAAAAAAAATTCAAAGCAAGTGTGGCGTGTGTGTGTGTGTGTCTATATGTGTGATTTTAAACTTAAGTAATAATAAAGGGTGAATTTAAAGCAATGTAGTTGTAAAAGGTTATTTTGTATTTTAAAAATAAGTGAAGTAAAAATAGGTAAGTAAACTTTGACTTGGTCTAGTAACTTATTTAACATTATTCCAGTGTACCTACGTTGATAACATTGACCACTGGAAAAATTTTACTTGTGTTATTGTTTCCCCTAGTGAACTAGCCCTAAAAACTTGAGTAATAGGAGAGACAGATGTGATTGTGAATTGTCATTCTATCCTTCCTACAGCATTCAGATCATGTGCATAGAATTAAAGTATTTGGTTACTGTTATAAGTAAGGGTGAAATCACATTTGCTTCAGTTACATAGCTAGCTCAGGAAAAAAAAAAGTGTGTGTGTGTGTAAGTATATATGTTACATATATACACATGTAGGTCTTCACGTTTATTTATCTCTTGTTATATGCTAGATCTTTTGATAGAAGTATAAATTATTCTCTGTTTTCAAAGAATTTACAGTTTATTTGAAATAAGTCATAAGACAGCAAATAAATTTTGGATAAATTGAGATAGTGTTTTTAGGAGTTCTGAGGATTATGGAATCACTTCAGGGTAGGATTTGAATTGTGCTTTCAAGGAATGGTATTTAGGTAGGTTAGAGAGGAGAAAAGAACATTGGGGAACACCACAACATACAGAGGCAAATAATGTAAGTAGGTCAGTTTAATAAGAATGGAAGGTTCAGACTGGGGTATAGTTCTTGAGCCTGGAGTAGTAGGTTGGTGCTAGAGAGTATGGATGCCTATGAGTGCTATGCATCGTAGTGATTTGACTTATTCAGTAGGCAGTCAGGACCAAGGGAGAAGTTTCTGAGTATGGAACTAATATGGGAGTAGCATTTTAATCTCCTAGGAAGGTTAATCCTCACTTCTTTACCTGTGTATAGCAGGGATCAGCAAACTATGCCCACAGCCCAGATCCAGCCTGCGGCCTTTATCTTGGTCAAGTCTACTAGCTAAGAACGGTTTTTAATTTTCAAAGGGTTTAAAAAACAAGCATAAACCAAGAAGTGCAGTAGAAACTGCCTGTGGCCCATAAAGCCTAAAATATTTGTTATTTGGCCCTTTACAGAAAAATATGCTGACCTCTAGCATAGGTTAGTGATTTTCAAAGTGTGATCTCTAGACGAGCAGCATAATGTACCTGTACTCTGTATTTTCTCTATATTTATTATAGCTTTTATTTCATTTCAGGCTCTTACTGTCTTCTGTGAAGATAGTTATAACTGCCTCCTAACCAGCCTTCTTTCTGCCAGCCTTATCCTCCTTCAGTTCATCCTCTACATCGCTCCCTGAATAATCTGTCTGACCACATAATTCCTTTGCATAAATCTCACTGATCCATCTTGCCTTGGAAAAGGTCTGAGTTTCTTCATGACTTGGCATCCTCCTATCTCTTTGGCCAACTCCTTTTTACCCCATCCCAGTCCTTGTTTTTACCATGTAGCCGCTGCAATTGTTTCTTTAAATACACTGTGCTTTTACTCAAGCTGTTTGCTCTGTTGAAATGCACTTTGCCTGGATAATTCCTACTCTTTTATTTATTTATTTTTTAAATTTTTTATTTATTTATTTTTTTAAAAGATTTTATTTATTTGCGAGAGAGAATGAGAGACAGCATGAGAGGGAGGAGGGTCAGAGGGAGAAGCAGACTCCCTGCTGAGCAGGGAGCCCAATGTGGGACTCGATCCCGGGACTCCAGGATCATGACCTGAGCCGAAGGCAGTCGCCCAACCAACTGAGCCACCCAGGCGCCCCAATTCCTACTCTTTTAAAGACTCAGGTGTTCATACCTCCACGAAGGCTGTCCTGATGACTGACCTCTCCCAGGCTGTTTTCACTGTTCCTTTGTACTTCATAATGTTCTGTGCATATCTCTGTACATTCATTTGGTTATCTATATGTGTGGTTGTTGTCTTTTTTTTTTTTTTTAAGATTTATTTATTTATTTTAGAGAGAGAAAGAGGGAGACCGTGTGCATGTGAGTGAGGGGAAGGGCAGAGGGAGAGAATCTCAAGCAGACTCCCTGCTCATGACCCATGAGATCATGACCTGAACCGAAACCAAGAGTTAGATGCTTAACTGACTGAACCATCCAGGTGGCCCCCTGTATGTGTGGTCTTCTATAAGGTTAGGAACTCCTTGAGGCTAGGAACAATGTCTTGCTCATTTTGTGTGCCTTAAGTACTCAGCACAGATTTTGTACATAGTAGGTATTCAATAAGTATTTGAGTGAATGAATGTTAAAGTGCTTGGCATAAAGTAAATATGAACAAAGATATTGATTGTTTCAATCCTAAAGAGCAATGGCGGTGATAAAGGACCATTGCTAGTTAAATCTCTGAGTATAGTATGGGTGAAGAATGTTGCTGGTGGGAAAGGATTAGAAATCCTGAATCACCAATTGGGACCCCATTTTATCTAAGATTTTTAAAGAAGTGTGACATTCATACAGAGAAGTGTACAACTGGATGAATTTTCACAAAATAAGCACATTTATGTAATCAGCACGCAGCTCAAGAAACATATCAGTACTGGAATCCCCAACCCTTACTGTGTTCCTTGTATTCTAACAGTAGAAAAGTTTTGTCTGTTTTTGAACTCTACATGAAATAGAATTATAAAGTATATCTGAATTTGAGCTGCTTCTGCACAACATTACAATTATGAGATTAACGCTTATTGTGTTGTAGTTTGTTTCTTCTCATTGCTGTATTCTGTTATGTGAATATACCATAGCTTACCCATTCTACTGTTGGTGGACATTTGGTTGTTTTGTCGAAAGGAACATATTTATGTATGTATGTAGGCTCCATACTCAGTGTGGGCGTGGAACCCAGTGCAGGGCTTGAATTCATGACCCTGAGATCCAGACCTGAGCTGAGATCAAGAGTCAGATGCTTAACCGACTGAGCCGCCCAGGTGCCCCTGCAATGAACATTTTTGTACTTTTTTGGGGGGGAACATGTATATGCATTTTTTTTTAAAGATTTTTTATTTATTCATTTGAGACACAGAGATAGAGAGAGAGAGAGCATGAGCAGGGGGAGAGGCAGAGGCAGAGGGAGAAGCAGGCTCCCCACTGAGCCAGGAGCCCGATGTGGGGCTTGATCCCAGGACCCTGGGATCATGACCTGAGCTGAAGGCAGACGCTTAACCATCTGAGCCACCCAGGCGCCCCCATGTATATTCATTTTTATTGGTTTTATACCTTAGAGTGGAATTATTAAGTCATGGTTATGGTATGTTCATTTTTAATAGATTCTGCTAAAGTTTTGGAAAGTGGTTTTTACAAATTTACACTCCTACCACCAGTGTATGAGAGTTCTAGTTGTTCTACATCTTTGTCAGCACTTATTATTGTCAGTCTTTTTATTTTTAGTTATTCTGGACTGGTGTGTAATGGTATTGCATTATAGTTTTAATTTTATATTCCTGATGACTAATGAGGTTGAGTACCTTTTCATATTAGGGACCCCATATTATTGGCCATTTGGATTTCTGGTTTTGTGAAGTATCTGTTAAGCCTTTTGCCCTTTTTCTATTAGGATGTTTACTTTTTTCATATTGATTTGTAGTTCTTTACATATTTTGGTTATAGTCTTGTTGGGTATATGCATTGCAGGTATATTCTACTCTGTAGCTAGCTCTTCCAGGATCTTGGTGTTTTGGTGAATCAAAGTGCTTAATCTTAAAGAAGTCCTGTTTATCAATTGGTTAGTGCTTTTTTGTTTCCATTTATGAAATCTCTGCCTGTATCAATGTCATGAAGTTACTTTTCAATGTTTTCTTTTAAAAGCTCTCTTTACCTCTCATATTTAGATCAAGAATTCATTTAGTTGATAGCTGTATGTGTATGGAGTAGGTACATTACATAAATTTTTTTGTTGAACTAAATGTAGATACAGAAAAAGTATACAAGTCAAGTGTACAGTTTGATAAATATTCACAAATTTAACATACTCTAACCTGCCCTTTAGATCCAGAAATAGAACATTTTCAGCATCCCAGAAGAATACATTACATTTTAATGTTTTTGAAATTGATATATCTAAGTTAGCTATTTGTATCCAAGCATGTATTTAATGTGGGGGCTCCTCCCCCAAAAAATGGTTGTTATATTGGTGGTACATCTTATAATTACTGGTGTCCTAGAATTGAGGAAATGTATCAAAGTCAAATGATTTCAAAGAGCATTCTTGAAATGTTTCTATGATCTATATCTTAATTGCACTTTTACTTTTTGAGTTGTTTTCATTCATTTTGCCATATTTCTAAACATTTAATAAAATACATCACAGTTCTGTAGTTGGAAAACCACAATTGTTTTATTTTTGTGATATGTGCCTTGAGTTTTGAGTGTCAAAATACATCCTGGTGTGTGAGAAATTGAAAAACTGACTAATAAAAATGTTCTTTGAAGAAAAGAGATTATATAATATTTAGTTTTAAAATTAACATTTTTAGGGGCACCTGGGTGGCTCAGTCGGTTAAGCATCTGCCTTCAGCTCAGGTCATGATCCCGGGGTCCTGGGATTGAGCCCCACATTGGGCTCCCTGCTCCACGGGAAGCCTGCTTCTCCCTCTCCCCTTGCTTGTGTTCCCTCTCTTGCTGTATCTCTCTCTGTCAAGTAAATAAATAAAATCTTTAAAAATAAATAAATAAAAT